ATAAAGTTTTAAATACAAAGTGCTTTTTATATATCGAGAATGATACAGTGTTACTGAATAGATCCCTGTTTTGTAATCTTGATTACAAGCTAACTGCTAAATGTGTTCTTTCTTCCCCGTTCCAGACAACATTCAACAGTAAACCCCTTGGTGGTAGCAGCCTGAGGACCAGAGGCCACTGCCAGCAACGTCTATCACATGAGAGTAAAACCAAACTTTTAAAACAAAATTTCATCCCAAATCCAAGAAAAGTTCTTTTTATTTTAAGGAAGAAAAAAAAGTTTCCACTTGGCAGTAACAGGCCGGGAAGCTTAAGGAGAAGGTAACGTAAGAGCAGCACCTGTCCCACTCCGGTGAAAACGTCAGGTGTGTTACTCTGCTTACGAGCATCCTGAATATAAGCTTGCTTTTTACCCTAAAACATCTGATTGGCAGATAAGGTCTCAGAATAGCTGCTGATTTTGTTGTTTTTGGTAGGTATAGCTATGTGGACTTGTAAATTTATGCGGCTTTATATAGAATTTGGGAGCATGAATCTGTAGACTACTTTCTAAGATTAGGACTCGTCCTTTCCCCCTTTTAAAAAACGCCCAGCACTCCTACAGAGCTGCCAGCGGGAGCTCAGCGTCCCCTCTAGAAGAGCATCGCCCCTTCCAGTGCATTTGCGAGACTCCTCTTTTCCTGGGCAGCTTTTCCCCCTCTCAAGTATAACCTGCCACTCAAAATCCTGCTCCTGGCATCGCTCACGCTGACAGCTGGAGTGTCGCTGTGGCACTCTAGTAACTCCTGAAGTTCACAGGTAACGCTCAGCCGTGACTTCTGGCTCCTCCCCACTGACCGACCCTTTCGGGAAGCACCATAATCTAAGACAGCAGAGCGGCTACAGCAGCCAGTGGTACCGTGGTCAGCCGCAGCAGGCCAGACGTCTCCTAGCCACAGAGGAGACCCCACTGTGTAGATGCTACAATTAAACAAAGGATTTCAGACAGTGAACCAATTCGAAATACCTATCTCTGGCACACTAGAGAATTATAAGAAGATACAGTATTTCAAACTAAATGTTAGTACTAAAATACTCTGCCTTATCAAGAGTCTGAAACACACTGTGACAGTGGCATCTTATAGAAACTGAAGCTTGTACCATAAGTTGTTTCATACTTAGAATGTCACCTCTTAGTATCTCCATTGTTTTAGGTGAAATACACTTTAGAAAGAATAAAACCAGACAAGAGAGCTCTGCTAATCAATTTTGCATCCTAGGAATCACATTACCTGTAGCTTTTACAGAAGTAGCATTTCATTCAGTGAAGCAGTTACCAAAACAAACCCATATTACCTAAGTATCCATAGAAAGAGCAAAATGAAATTCCAACATGAGCTCGTAATAATGAGTGATCAAAAACTGCTGCCACCTGAAGTGGAACTGGTGGGCTGGAGTCCAGTTCCAAGGGCAGGTATCTATCACCAAACGCACCCGCCTCAATCGTGACAGGCCTAGAGGTCTGCCTTGCTACTGGGAGCGGGGGTAACTTACCCCCATTACCTACTCCAGGCCGGGACTGGAACATACAAAGCTGAGGAATTAGATTTTTTAATTGGCCTACTTAGAACTGGTCTTTCAGAAATATCTTCCTTTTTTTTTTTTAAGCTTCTCTCATAATAGCAAGTAGCACATATCATCTGTGCCCAGATTTGCATAATTACCATAGTTTATTTTTGTGCCTGCCACTCAAGGGCCAGATCCTATTTTTAGTTAGCCTCAGTCGTATTCTGCTCAGCCTTTGCAGCTTCATAAGACTTGGTACAAGAAGTCACATGCCTGTGGAAACTGTCCCTCCACATGAATCTCTTCGCGCAGATATTACACTCGTATGGCTTTATGCCTGTGTGAATTTTCATGTGGCCCACGAGATGATGCTTCATTTTGAATTTCTTACCACAGACACCGCAGCCATAAGGCCGAAGACCGAGGTGCATACTCATGTGTCGATCTCTTTGACTCTTGTGAGTGAAACTTTTCCCACACTGACAAGGATACAGCTTGTCGGTGGCAGAGAAACCTAAGTGGGATGCTTCTTCTTTAATCCCTGTTACCATTTCAATATTCTCACTGTAGCCTGCTGCTAGGGCCGCCTCCTGTCTGTGTCCAATCAGATTTCCATCCGACCGCTCTCCAGAAAACTCTTCCATGGAAGAGCCATAGAAGTCCACCTGCTCATCGTAATTACTTTCATCGGCCTGTTCGTCAAACTCTGCTTCCACCTTTTTCTCCCCAATGTGGAAGTCTTCCTCTACTCCTGAGGGCTGGGCTGAGTGCTCCGTCTGCATGGTGTTGATGGACTCAGTGACCTGGTGCTCATCGTAGGGGGCGTGCACGTCCATGCCCTCGCACGCCTGTTCGAAGCGCTCGGGCTTCACGTGAATCCAGCGTTTGTGTGCCATTATGCTGGGCTTGCTGTACAGAGGCCGGGTGTAGTGGAACTCGGCACTGTCACTGGCCCCCTCCTCCCCGTCCTGGCTCGCCATTTCAGTGCTCAGTCGGTCGTGCTCTGTGGACGAGTTGCTGGGAAGGTATTCATGCTCAGTGAGCTGTGACGACAGCTCATCTTTGGTGCTCTCCTCTTCATTCTCTCCATCTCTCAGTTCTTGGGATTTGGGGAAATCAGTGTGGCCCCCTGAGCCCAGCTCAAAGCTCTCTACCAGGCCGTTGTAACTACTGCTGCTCGGAGACTGGTGGTCACTGCCATGATTTAGCTTCTGACACAGGACTGTGGGGTTTCCCTCTAAAACCTCAGTGCATTTGTCCACCACATGCCACATCTGGAGGAAGCTCGCTGCTGTTAAGTAACTAACAATTTCTGGAGCGGGCATCACGAGACGTCCCGTGTAACTAGACAGGAGAATGTTCTCAAATACTCTTGGGTTCATCACATCAGGCAAAACAATCCTCCTACTGTTTTTCAGGAGTACCTGGTCACAGAAATAGGGTGAACTGGCAGCAAGTACAGCTTTGTGTGCCCGGAAAATGTGGCCTTGCACAACAATGGAGACATCACATAATTGTCCTTGCTGGCGCTGCTGGTTCAGTTTCTGCAGAATAGTGCTGGAAAAATCAGGAAATTCTACCCGAAAAGAGTTTGTTCCAGGCTCCATTTCATCACAAATCTTGTTCGGTGCTACAAGAGAAAGAAAAATTAGTACTAATTCCAGCTCAAAGAGAAACTTACTGATCTCTAAGAAAACGAAGACAAGTGCCACAGTTCTCTAACGTCCCCTTGCCTGTGGGCACTACTGAGTGGCACACTCATTCCCCTGAGCAAGGCTCTCAGGTATGAGCGTGCCGGAACCACCCGCCACTCTGCGTGGTAGTAACTCTTGATTCTGTCTGTGAATGAGAGAATGGAATCCAGAGAGATAAGATCTGCAAACTACAGAAATCACCCAGGTGAAATAAAGTAAATATTTCTAGTCAAAACAAACATGATATATTATCAAAATGGCAGAATTTTAAAAAGGCCTCATCAGATTCAACCCAAATTTCCAAGTTGGGGTGAGGATGAAAGTGAGGATCGAATTGAGCTCAGAAGGAAGAGCACATGTAAAGGATCTCAGGCAAAAAAGGAATTGAAAGGAGACCACCAGGCTAGCATCCAGTGACGGAGGGGTAAGGGGGCTGAAGTGGCCAGGACAGAACAATCGTGCCTTTGGTCCCTCAGCACCACAGGGGTGAACTCCTGAGACTCCCAACAATGTGAGCTGCAGTCAGAATTTTGGCTTTTAGGAGCTTCTGATAATGTGAAACGAATGAAATTAAACGGGAAGACAAGGTATTCCTTCTATCTGGTGGCCTTCAAATTGTTAAGAAGTTACAGACCAAAGGATAATATGAACTGTTACTGAATGAACCCAATCTGAAGATAAATTATAACACAGTAAGTAAGGGATTACCTGTGTTGTTATTGTAAATATATTTTGGGTAAATCAAGCATTAGAGACAATCTCTAACAATGGCAATGAACAAGATAAATTTTGTCAGAGATCCTGCTCATGCCCCATAATTTCATAGTAAATCAAAACAAACTAGAAAACCCAACAGATTTATGAGTACTATTTGTCACCTGGCTCTAATCTATATCTAAACACTGCTAAGTACCAGGTATGAGAAAAAAGAACCAGACAACCCAAACAAAGGTTGCAAGTCATCTTTGAGAGAGGGAGAGATGCCAAAAGAAGAAACTAATGTTTCTTGAGTAACTGCTGTATATCAGGGGCTACACACCTTTTTTACTCAACTTTCAAAGACTCTGCAAATGTAAGGATTGATATTCTCAAGTTCAGCTATTTCAAGTAACTTCCTCAAGTTACTTGAAAGGTAGTTTTCATTAAGTTGAGATTTGACTCTAGGTCTCTATGATTCCAAAGCCTATGTTATTTTTCCTATCACATCATTCTGCCTCTTCCAAGATGCCAAAATATCAAAGTAATCATTAATAATTTAAAGAGGTAACACAGTTTTTAGAATAAAGTATTAGTTTATAGTTATACCTCTTAAAACATTCTATCATAACTTAAAATAAAAACAGACCAGGAAACAAGCTATTTAGGTATTTGCAGTTTGCAAAAGCAAAAGTTAACTAGGTAAATGCAGACTAGAGTTAGGTAAATTCTGAGAACCACCTCTGGGTAAACAGATTCTCTGCTAGATCCCATCGCTGCAGAATTTTGTTTTCAGATACATAAAAAAATGGGGAGACTAATACACGCATGTAAAAAAAAGTACAGAAAGCTGTAAAAAACAAACAAACAAACAAAAACCCTCTCTACTATTTATTCCTAGTCTGTTCCCCCCAAAGGAAATCACCATTAACAAACTTTTGCACGTATTTCCAGAAACATCTCTGTGCATATATCAGAATCATATACAACCTTTAAAACTCCCTAACTAAACAGATTCATTAACTACATTTTATTCTGCGCTTAGCTTTTGTCACTTAATGTATCCTGCAATCTTCCAACATGCTATATACTGATTTTTTCCCAAAAACTTCATGTAGAAACTTAATCCTCCAATGTGATGGTATGCAGAGGTGGGGCCTTTGGGAGGTATTTACGTCATAAGGCAGAGCCCTTAAAAATGGGACACATCATAAAAGAGCCACAAGACGATTAATTCCATGTGAGGACACATTGAAAAGGCTGCTGTCTATGAACCAGGAAGTGGTTCTCACCAAACACCGAATCTGCCAGCACCTTGACCTTGGACTGCCCCAGCATCCAGAACAGAGGAATAAATCTGTTTATAAGCCACACAGTCCACAGTATTTTGTTACAGTAGCCCAAATGGACTAAGACACCATACAGCAGACAGCTGTTTAATGGCTATAGAGCTGCCTGCTATATGGATTCATCGTAATTTAAGCAGTTCTCTTCTTATAGAAGTTTAATTGTCCAGGTTTTTAAAATTATGAGCAATGCTATAATGGATGTTTGTGTATACTACCTTGGCAAATCCTTGAAATATCTATAGGTTAATCTCTACCAGTGGAACTGCAGGGTCACGTGGCTGTACATATTATATTCTGACACATATTAACAAACTACTTTCCAGAGAGGTGGCAAGTTGCACTCCTATCAGCGGTAATGACAGTGTCTACTCCTCAACACTCTTAGCAACACTGGATGCTATCAAACGAGAAAAAAACTTTACAAAACTCCAAAGTGAATCCATGAGTCACTGTTGTTTTGATCGACATTTCTTTAATTATGAATGAGATTATTCTTTACTCACGTTTACTGGTTATTTGTTTTTCCTATAAATTACTAGTCATATCCTTTGCTCAAATAAATTGAAGAAACATCTTATTGTAGTTTTTTTGTAAATCTGGGAAATTAACTTTGAAATTTACCCAATCTTTGCTTTTATGGCTCCAGGGCTTTGTGTTAGATGTAGAAAAGGCATTCCCAACTCCAAGGTTATTTTAAAAAGTAAAAAGAATTAGTAAAATTTTTTTCCTGGTGCTTTTTTTTTTTTTAAAGCTTTTAAACCTTTAATACACAAAGGGTTATTTTGGCATAAGGAGTAAGGTTGGTATCCAGCCTTTTCCCTCCAAAACGGCTAGCCTGTTTTTCCAACACTATTTATTGAATATCCATCTTTTCCTCAAGATTTCAAATATCTGTCGTGGAATTTTAAATGACTGAAAATAAGACTTTAAAAAACAGTTCTACAACAATAAATGCCATAAGTGATATTACAGAAAATAGTGAAGGAGAAAGCTCTAGAGGTCAGTCCCTCCACCAAAACCACCAGTCAACTGTTAAAATGGTCAGAATCAACTATTTTGGAACCCTGGAATCTGACCAGACACTTATAGCAACCAAGACAATGCTCGATGGAGGGAGAGGCTGCTGAAGCTTCCTAACAGAGCAGTGTGCGCAAACCAGCTCCAATCTCCCTTCCTCAGCCCTGCCACAGCCTGTGGGACTGTTGGCCCACATTCCTACAGTGGCTGGCTGGCAGACCCACGCAGCGCTGTTTTGCACTCCCTCAGACTGCAAAGGCTTCCCAGCAACATCTATCATAAGATTTTAAAAGACAAACACACTTTTCTGGCTTACAAAACATTAAGTAAACCTCTGTCAGGTCATAGGCTGACCACATAGATAAAGGGACAGAAACTCCAGTGACTACACACAACAGGAATACTACAGACTTTGCAAAATAGTTGGGAAAAATCACCATACAAATAGTCAAATGTAGCCCTCAACAAGGAACAAAAGAAATCTCTTAGGAGGGGAAGAATCTGATTTCAAGAGTTACCACACAGAATACTCAAAATGTTCCAGTTCTCAACCAAAATTACAAAGTATACAAACAAAAAGGAAAACTCATTCGCAGAAACTATCCCTGAGGAAAATTCTATACATTAGAATTACTAGTCAGAGATATGAAATCAACTGTCTTGTATAAGCTCAAATTGCTAACCCCTCCCCCAAAACAACTCCCCAGACCCAATGTGACACAGAACTAAAGGAAATCAGGAGAACAATGTCAATAAAGAATTAGAAATTATAAAAAAGGAACCAAACAGAAATTCTGGAGCTAAAAGTATAATAACTGTGTTATGGGCTGAACTGTACCCCCTGCCAATTCATATGTTGAAGCCCTATAACTCCCAGTACCCCAGAATGTGACTGCATTTGGACAGAGGGCCTTTAAGGAGGTAATTCAGTTAATGTGGGGCCATTAGGATGGGCTCTAATCTAACTGGTGCTTTTGTAAGAAATGAATTTGGACACACATCAGGGGTGTATGCAATATGAAAACACAGTGAAAATGTGGTAAGCCAAGGAGAAGTCCTCAGGAGAAACCAAATCTTCCAATATCATGATCTCAGACTCAGTCTTTAGAATTGTGAAGAAATTCTGTTATTTAAGTCACCCAGTCTATGACGGTTTTTTTGTGGCAGCCTAGGAAACAAATACAAGTTGAAATTAAAAATTTACAAAAGGAGTTCAATGGCAGATTTAAGCAGGCAGAAAAAAAAAATCAGCAAACTCAAAGATAAAAGAAGTGATATTACCCCCTTGGAGAGGAAGGAAGAAGAATAAAGAAAAATGAACACAATCTGAGGCACTTGGGCACGCCATCAAATGTACCACTAGGCACACCATGGGAGTCTCAGAAAATGAAAGGGTAGAAAAGGTATTAAAAGAAATAATAATTGAAAACTTCCCAAATTTGGTAAAAGACACACCTATACATCAAGAAGCTCAACAAAGTCCAAGCAGGATAAAGGTAAAGAGATCTACATGACATACACTGCGAGTCAAGCAGTAGAAAGCCAAAGACAAGGGAGAATCTTGAAAGCAAAAGAAAGCAACGACTCATCCTGTAAAAGATTAACAGCTAATTTCTCATCAGAAACCATGGAGGCCAGAAGGCAGTAGTATGACATATTTAAAATGCTAGAAGAAAAAGTTGTCAACCAGGAGCTGTACATCTGGAATAACTATACTTTCAAAAGTGAAGGGGAAATTAAGACATTCCCAGATAAACAAACAAACAAAAAAACAACAAAAGGTAAAGGTTTTGTTACCAGCAGATCTCTATGACAAATGAGAAAGGGTCTTTCAGGACGAAGTGAAAGAACACTAGATAGTAATTCAGAGCCACACGAAGGAATAAAGACTACTGATAAAGGTGACACCATAGGTAAATATAGAAGCCAATATTATACTTTTGGTTTATAACTTTTTTCCTATATAATCTAGAAGGCAAATGCATTAAACAATTATAAATCTATGTTAATTGGCACACGTGTATTAAGATATCATCTGTGACAATAACAATATGAAGGGGGAGGGACAGAGATGTATAGGAGCAGTGTTTGCATACTACTGAAACTAAGTTTGAATTAGTCAGACTAGATTGTTATAAGTTAAAGATGTTAACTGTAAACCTCAAGGTAACCACTAGGAAAATAAAAGGAAAAGGAATTAAAATGGAATGCCAAAAAACAAAAACAAAACAAATATTTTTAAAAGGCAGTAATGGAAGAACTGAGGAAGAAAAAACGTAAGATATGCTGAAGAGAAATAGCTAAATGGTAGAAGTAAATCCTTCCTATTAAAAGGCAGAGATTGGCAGAATAGATTTTAAAAAATTATTTATATGTTGTATCTAAGAGACTCACTTCAGATACAAAAGCAAATTGATGAAAGTAAATTGATGAAAAAAATATTCTACGTAAAGAGTAACTGAAAGAGAGCTGGGGTGGCTATATTACTCATCAAACAAAACAGATTTTAAGACAAAAAGGTTACAAGAACAAAGGAAAACATATATTGACAAAAGGTTCAATCTATCAAGAAGATATAACAATTATAAACATATATATACCTAACAAGAGAAATATAATCAAGCAAAATATATGAAGCAAAAATGAACGGGATTAGAGAGACCTACAATAACAGGTGGAGACTTCAATACCTCTTTCAATAATGGATAGAAAAACCAGACAGAAGATCTATGAGGAAAGAAAGGTCTTGAACAACATTTTAAATCAATTAAACCTAAAAACCATCTACAGAACACAAACAGAAAGGAATGAAGTTCTGAAACATGTTACAATATGAACACTGAAAATATTCTAAAAATAAAACGTCATGTTAAACACTAACTTAAATAAGCCAGACATAAAGGTACAAATGTTATACAATTCCACTTATCTGAAATATCTAGAATAGGCAAATTCATAGAAAAAGAAAGTAGATAAGAGGTTACCATGGGCTCAGGGGAGTTATTGCTTAATGGGTAGAGTGTTTGTTTGGGGTAATGAAAAATTTTGGAAATAGAAAGTGGTGCTGGTTGCACAATGTGGTAAGTATAATCAATGCCACTGAATTGTACACAACAAAATGGCAAATTGAATGACATATACGTTTACCATGCATTAAAAAAAAAATGGAAAAAAGGTCATGTAACTTTAACGGTGTCAAGGTGGTCACAGTCCTTGCAATTGAGTAAGTATCTGATCTCTACCCTTAATTTTGTGTGTGGCATTTCTACATACACCCTGAGCTTAGTAATATCCAAAGCCTGAACTTTTACAGATTTTCCTGCCATAGAAGCAATATTTACAAACTTATAGGTGGTTGTGATCTATATTAACAGTATAGTTGCTACTTCAATTGTTTACAAAACTTACATAGAAGTAATTAATTAACTCACTAAAAACAAACAAACATAAAACACTATATGTAAGGTAGTGTGGAGGATTCTAAGATGATCAAGGAGTCTCACTGTCCAGAGTTTAGAATCTGGTAGGGAAGAAAAAAACACATGCATACGACCCTGTTATCAAGCAAAGCCTGGTAAAACGCACCACAAGAAAATTACAAACCCGGGGGAATTCAGAAGAGGGAATCTGGTATACCCACAGTTATATATCTTGTCACTATAAAGTTGGTGTCACCAGCGTAAGAGGAAGACTTCAGAGCAGTACATAATTCTTCTCATTTATCACCTCCTCATCCAAAAAATCTAAGAAATATACTAAAACTGGCCTGAGTTCTGAAAAAAAGGAGATCAGAATTATCTATATGCCACGGACTTTAATTAAGGATACAGCAGAGATGGGGCCAGACTGAAGAGAGACAGTGCCCCTGCGACTCTACCTGCGATACCAGGCAATCCTGGTATAGTAGCAGCCCTCGTGACAGAGGACCACTAATACCTGTTCATTTGGAAGGCCTGCAACTAAAAAGCCAGAGTGGACCATGGGACAGGTCTTGCAGATTGGCAACACTGAGAGGGGGCTGCACTGGGATACCAAAGGTTGCCTCAGCAGAGATTTTTTTATGACATGAGAGGGTGGGGCTCAGTAACAGCCCGAGGAAGGAAGCAAAGGCACCACCCATCATTTCCCAGCTGGGCCAAAGAGACTAAAGTAGGTCCCTGGCACCACAATTTCACTGACACAGGACAAAGTGCACAGAGCTCAAGCTCTCCTGAAAGTACCTGAGGCCCAGCCTCTGGCCTCAGCTATTACACCCAAGCAAGTCCTGATGTCAACATGGTGCAGCCCGTCCTCCAGCAAAAGAGCCAAAAGTTGATTCTAACAGCATTCAGATCTACAGTGAAGGACCAAAACCAATCCACCCACAAAGGACATTTCAGACCTGAACTGAATGTTTCCCTCTAAAAAATTAATAAACAGAATAAAACCAACATGGTTTAATTGTTAGTGAATGAGGTCTGTAAATATATTCTATAGTAACAAAAAAGAAGTAAATGGCAAAGGATAAAGAGTAATATAATTTTTAAACTGAAGTTTTCCACTAAATTATGAAAACATGGGCTCTATGAGTGAAGTATAAGGAAGATGAGACAAAATAGCAGAATGATATGAAAAAAAGCCGACTGAATTAAAGATGTAAGAAAACTAATAGAGCATAAAGTTTGAACAGACTAAAGACTTGGGATGGGTGCCAGGGGTGAAACAATAGAGCAGAAATTTTAATAGGCAATAAGAATGAAAAGTACAACTGTAGAAAATAGAATCAATGATGTGGAAGGCACTTTGAGGCCCTTCTAGGAGAATGCAGGAGGATGAAAATATGAAAACAGCAAGAGAAGATACTAGAACAGGAGAAGAGACTGGAGATCCAATGTACGGCTAATTAGTGTCCGTGAAAGAACGAACAAAACAAATGGAGTAGAAGGAACAAATAAAATACTCAACAGAAGAAAACTTCGCCGAGTGGAAAACTGCAAGTATTCAGAAGAGTCTTGTAGTGGAGACAAATTAGCCCCAGATAAAATGTAGTTCTGGTCTGTTAAAGAGAGCTTAAAAACAAGCCTCCAAACGATCAGACTATTTCCAAGTAACTTGTCTTCCAGAACAAAGCCTGAGAATATTTACATAATACAAAAATATCCAGAATCCAACAGGGTAAAATTCACGTCTGGCATCCAGTAAAAAAAAAATCACCAGGCATGCAAAGAAGCAGGAAAATATAACCTATAATAGAGGGGACAAAATCAATCAGTAGACACAGACCCAGAATGACAGATTTATACAACTGGTAAAAAATTCTATGTTCCATATGTTCAAGAAAAAAGAGGAAAATTAAGCATAGGTTGATAGGAAAGCTATAAAAAAGGCCCAAGTTGAACTTCTACAGATTAAAACAAAATGAAACAAACACTGGATGGAAATAAGAACAGAATTAACACTGCAGAAGAAAAGGTTAGTGAAATTGAAAGGCTAGGCAATAGAAACAACTTAAAATAAAACAGAGAAAAAGAAAAAAAGAGCAGAATATCAGTGAGCTGTGGGGCTGCAAGGGGCTTGAGAGAGTATAGGAGCCAAAATTTATTTGAAGAAATAACGCTTAAATCTTTCCAAATTTGATGAAAATAATAAACCCACAGATCCAAGAAGCTCAACAACCCCAATGCAAGAAACATAAAGAAAACTATACCAAGGTATATCATAATGAAATCCCTTAAAACCAGTGAGAAAGAGAAAATATTAAAAGCAGAGAAAAAAGAGCCACTGGGTACAGAGGATCAAAGATAAAAAAAAGGCTGTAAACATCTTGGAAGAAGCAACGCCAGCTAAGAGAAAGGAGACAATACAAAACAGAAGACATTTTTGAAGTACTGAAAGAAAAAACTGTTAACTTAGAATTCTATACCCAATCAAAATCTCTTTCAAAATGAAAGCAAAATATCTTTTCAGACATAGAAAAGCTGAATTAGTCACCAAAAGGGTCAAAAGTAAAAAAAAAAAAAAACAAAACAAACAAAAAAAAAAACCAATAAAAACAGATACATAAAAACAAAAATACATCCAGCAACAATATTCATATCAAAGCAAAATTCAATGTAAAGAGCATCAAACATTATAAAACCTTATTAATTGATGATTTAACTCAATGAGTGCTATCTTGTGAACTTTTATGTGTAAAATGTAGTACAGTCTTCAAAAAACGATGACAGAAAAAAATTGTGATAAGAAATATAAATATCCCTTGTTTAATCCTTAACAAATCAAGCAGGCAAAGGACTAATTAGAATCTAGAGGTTTACACTGGTATCATTAATAATGCTAACTTAACTGGAACCCCCAACCTTTGCATCCTATGAGGAGTTCCCAATCCCCCGCTGCAGTACAGATAGTGGCCTGTTAGGAACCGGGCCGCACAGCAGGAGGTGAGCAGTTAGTGAGCGAAGCTTTATCTGGGTTTGCAGCCGCTCCCCAGCATCACCATCTCAGCTCCACCTCAGATCATCAGGCTTTAGATTCTCATAGAAACACTGGTCCCTGGTTCCAAAAAGGTTGGGGACCTCTGCTTAAATAATCCACCTTCTTTTTCAATTTCCATAGTCCATTTACAAAAATTATCATATAAGGGGACAGAGAGCATCAATAAATTCCCCGCAGCAGAAATGCATACATAGAGCACATCTGATTACATGGGATTACACAATGTAATAAATCCAGAAATATTAAAATTATAAATTTTAAAAAGCTTAAATACTCAATAATTAATGTTCTCAATTCTTAACACAATGAAGAAATTAAAATTGATTATAGAAACTTTTTAAAACAGGAGACAATTCCACACTAATACATTTTAAAGTGTCACTGATAGTTTTACTGAAAAATATAAATGATCAGAATTGATCTAAGAAAAAAATCTGAAAAGATTAATAACCTCAGAGAAAGTAAAAAAATATATTCGAATGATTTCCAAAAGGACACCAGGCCCAGAATATTTTATGAAAAGATTCTTAAAACAAATCCATTTCTGTGCTACATAAACTGTTTCAGAGCGGGGAGAAAGAGGCAAGGGAATAAGAGCAGGAGAAAACTTGCTAATTATTTTTATGTAAAATCCTGGTATCAAAACTGAAACACACACACACACACACACACACACAAAACTGTAAGCCTATGTCACTTAGTAAGGTAGAAAGAAAAATTAAAATTGTTTATTTTAATCTCTTGAGGGTTAAGTGCATTGTGAAGGTGATATACTGAAGAAATTGAATTCCTAGACCCATCGCACTGAAGGCAGGATCCTAGACTATGGTAAAATTACCACCAGAAAGCCATCTCGCAAACTCTCCCTCAGCTCTCTTCCATTCAAGACCACGTTTGGTGATACAAAGATCATTACCTTTGCCTTCTTCTACAAGTGACAGGGACTGATAGGAGAGAAATCTGAAAAGAATGACTGGGACTACCCAGCTGAAGGCTGAGTTTGAGCTTCAAATGTTGGCACTGGGGGCAGCACTGAAAACTTGAGTGACATGCTGTGAAATACGTTCAGAAGAGATAATCTGCTGATGGACTTAAAGCAGGGGCAAGTCTGAAGTAGAGGCTGACTTTAAGATTTCAGCAAATACAGTCTAGGTTTGAAGACAATGAAAGTAACAGTGAGTATGGAAAACAGACAGGTAGAATTGATGGGACTGACTCAATCAGTAGGCAGGAATACTCAAGAGTAGTGAAAGGTATAAATAATACCATCAAGAAAGTAAAAAGATAACCTACAACATGAGAGAAAATATATGCAAATCATATAACTGATAAGTAACTTGTATCCAGAATATATAACGAACTCTTAAAATTCAGTAATAAAAAGATAGCCCAACTGACAAATGGGCAAAGAATTTGAAGATATTTCTCCAAAGATATACAAATGAGTACACAAAAAATGCTCAATATCATTATTCATTATGGAAATGCAAACTGACACCACAATGAGAAAGCACTTCTCACCCACCCAAAATAAGACGGACAGTAACAAACGTTGGTGAGGATACAGAAGGATTACACCCCTTATATTCATTGCTGGTGGGAATGTAAAATGGTACAGCCACTTTGGAAAACAGTCTGGCAACTCCTCAAAGAGTTAAACATAGAGTTACCAGGGAACCCAACAATTCCACTCATATGTATATATCCAAGAAAAATGCAAACATGATGTCCACAAAAAACATACACGAATGTTCATAACAGCATTATTCATAATAGTTCAAAGTGGAAACAACCCAAATGTCCTCAGCTGATGACTGGATAAGTAGAATGTGGTATATCCATACAATGGAATATTATTCCACTTATTATGTACGTAATATTGTACTACGCCATTCTTTCGGCAATAAAGAATGAAGTACCAACAGATGTGACAATACGGCTGAACCTTGAAAATGTTATGCCAAGTGAAAGAAATCAGGCACAAAAGGCCAGACCTTATATGATTCTGATTCTGTTTATACTAAATGTCCACGATAGGGAAAATCCATAAGCAAAATGTAAATCAGTGACTGCCAGGAACATTGCGGAGAGGAAATGGGGAATGAAATGCTAATTGGGTTTTAGGGGGGACGAAATTCTAAAATTAGATTCTGGTGATGGGTATACAAACCACTGAACATATTAAAAAACTCTTAATTGCATGTGAATTGTCTCAATAAAGCTGTTTAAAAAAACAGAGTACTGTAAAGTAAATTAGTTACCAATACCGACTCTGAAGTTTCCTGACTGCGTAACTAGGAAAATGTCTTATTAACAGGAATAAAAACAGCATCTACTATTTATTAAATGCATGCGTTATACCACAGTCTGTGCAAAGCACTTTATGT